CTGGCAGTACCACTGGGGGATGCACAGCACGTATGTTAACAGGTTAAAAAAAATAAAAGATGCCTGGAGCTATGCCAGTGTTAACATTTCTGAGCCCCATGGGATCTTTTTTTTTAAAAATACGAATAACACATCTTGGCTATGAAGAAGCTTTAAAAAATTCAAAATGCCAGCTACTTCTACCAAATATAAGAAAACATGAGCGCAAGAGACGGAATTTCACAGCTTTAATTCTTTTCCTTGGGGCAGCAGTGTTAGACTCACGTGATTTCCTCAGCAGATTGCAACGGAATTATATTTTCAACCTCAGTTAGCGCATTTGTATGCACAAAAAATCCTGCAATCCTTCCCACATACATAGGAAAAAACCCGAAAAATAAAACATTGCCGCAGCCGAGTGTTACATCCACCCGCTTGCACGCACGTATACACTAAAGAATACATCTGAATAGGTTTAAGATGAAGACATGCCTGAGTTGATAATCATGACACCCACTGATCTCGATCAAAAGCATTCATCACTCAATTATACTTTACTTTATATTCAAGACCAGAAAGATGTGACTGAGTCTGTGGACTAATAATATGCCAACTGTTGAAAATCTAGTAGAAACATAACCTTTAGCCAAAGCATCTGAAGTAAAATGAAAAGGCGATGAAAATAAGTTTGAAGTAAAACCACTTTACAAATGTAATAATATGACCAGTGTCTTTAACATCTACATCAATAACTCAGCAGCATCCCATTGATACACAGTCATCCTCCTTAGAAGTACTTCATGCACTAAGTCCAAGTGTCTCATCACACCAGCTGATTTAAAATAAGTATTTAAATGAATTGTGTTTTATACATTTCTGGTTATTTTTAATTAAATGTTTGAACAATCAAAGTATGGACAAGGAAAAAAAACAATACATTTGTCTTCTAGCTTCTCTGTGTTGTTTCTTTTTCTTGTTTTTCAAGGGGCAAAAAGAGGATGATAACATGTCTACCCATCTGTTCTATGTCTATCTATCTTTAAACCCTCCTGTGTCTTTCTTCTCAGTTAAAAGTTTTGAGTTTCTTTTCAAAGAGAGCCCTGAAATACTTAATATGTCATTTTTTGATTGTGTCAGTTTCATTTACTTCCCAATGATAGTAATAAAAGTAATATATTTAGGGTATAGCATCCATTTGGTTGGTAAAGATGTAATCATGCAGCTTTAGTACATTAAAAAATGGCCTTGGCAGTGTTTTAGTGATGGTTCCAGAAGGAGGTGAGACCATGACTCATCATCTTACCTCATTCTAAAAGTTCGCCCAGGGAGTCAAACCAGTGAGCAGCACATCTCTAGTTCAAAGCTCCACTTCACCAAATCCAGTTTCCCAAATGAGCACCCAGAAATTATAATTCGTGCCTTTACAGCAGAGGAAGGACAGTAGTAGCAAGTTTGCAGCACTTTCACGCTGTCTCCCAGTATTGCCTTGAATCTGCATGAATATTTCAGCAGTTAACCTGCCTTGCACTCCCTGTTTCTCAATTATTGACTGGAAGCTCTTATCAATGTGATAAGAGCCCCCAGTCCTCGCAGATGAGTGGGCACACATCTTATCAATGTGTGCCTACACTTTGTTGTGAAATACCAGACAAAAAACAAAGAAAAAACTGCATTGTATTTAAAAAATCACACCTTTACCCAAAGTTGCATTATTTGTTGCTGTATCAAAAAATGTGCTGCAGCGTTAGCTCTCAGGTAGCAAGGACCTGCCGGGTTTATATGTGTGGAGTGTCCCGGGGGAGAGATGTGCTGACAGCAAAGATGATTCCTGTTTGTTTAAGGAACTCGGTGATGGTGGGGAATAATGCCTCTCATTCAGCCATAATTACTAGGAATTCCTACTGGGAGTAGGAATGGTTTTCCTTTAAAGGGGCATATTATGCTTTTCCTTTTTTTTTCTGTCATGCAGTATATGCTGTATATTTTTTAGTGGATACTCATATTAAACATCAAACAAGTTTCAAAAAGCTGCAGACTGCTCTAAACACTTAGTTTCACAGGTCTTTTTTTTTTCTTTTGGTTCCATGTGATGTCAGTGAGTGGACAATGTTAATTTGGTCATCTCAGACCTGCTGTTCAGGCCTTTTTTCAGCCAATCAGGAGAAAGTTTAAGTTTAATCTGAGCTAAAACAGCTTGTCTCACGGAGTGGGTGAACAGAGGAGGATCAGTACAGAATAAACAAGGTTAATTCTGAACTGTGAATGCAAAAGCAATTTTATACTAGCCATTCTCTTCCACTTATCCATATCAGGGTCACAGGGGGGCTATCCCCCTATCCCTATCCCTATCCCAACTTGCCAGCCAGACAGAGGGCGAACACAAAGAGACAGACAACTATTCACACTGAAATTTACACCTATGAGCAATTTAGCAATCACCAGTTAACCTAACCCTCACTAACTCCATGTCTTGGGACTGTGGGAGGAAGCTGGAGTACCCGGAGAGAACCCACACAAACATGGGGAGAACACATCCACACAGAAAGGCCCTAACCAGATGTTGAGATGAACCCAGGATCTTCTTGCTGTGAGGCAACAGTGCTAATGGTCCCACCACGCTGCCCTCTAGTAGAGTCAAAGAATAAAATCGTGGAGTTGCAAATGAGCACAATAGACCCCCTTTAAGAGATTTGAACAATGAAGTTCTTAAATGATATTTTGCAAGAGATAGCAGTTAAAGGGGCTGAGAGTCTGACGTGTCCTATTGACAACTTTTCAGCCACAGCCCAGAGAGATGAGCTTATTCCAGCACTTGTAGAGCTGTCAGACTGTGATGTCTTTTTGCAAACACAAACACAGCATCTGTAAGTGCAGTATTTTAATAACTGAATAAATGACGCAGAGAAACATAAAAAGAAACGAGGTTACAAAATCCCAAATTTATGTCTCATGAACTTAATGGGAAGCAATCGCATCAAGTGCATAAAATCCACTGCACCTTGTAGTCACTTAGAAAGCCTTTTTTCTTAATTTTACATGGTGTAACATATTAAACAGTTGCCCTTGCTTTTAAAGAGTCAACCTTGTTCATATGAAAATTACTTGTGTAGCTCTTTACTGGTTAAACAGTGTCTTAAGGTGCATCAGAAAGAGAAAAAAAACCTTTGTCTGTTCTACTTCTGTTTGCCTTTTGTTTTCTTTCTGAGTCTCAATGTTTTTATGACTAATGGTTATCTGTCTCTGTGAAATTGTTGACACTGTAGAGTTAGTCAGGAGAAATACGTCAGTGCTTAATCTTTGCCTCCAGTTGTGTTGCAAACTGTCAGTGCCGCTTCATCACAAACATCCAATTATACTGACGTTTACCTTTTATAAAACTGGGACACATTTAGGACTCATTCAGCGTGATGGATTTCCTTGACGAGTCCCTCTGTTTGGTGAGGTAGTGATAGTGTTAGGTAATTGCCTCTTAGGTGTTTTCTGATTTACCTCTGTGGAAGCCTCGAGCACAGCCTGGCTGACTGTTGTCTAGTTTAGAGTACAGTGGGGGAAATAATTATCTGATTCCTTGCTGAATTTGTATGTTTGCTCAATTGCAAAGAAATGAACAGTCCTTGGTGATCATTGGGAAATGGAACAAATATAAATTGATCATCAGTGCAAGATTTTGCCTCATGGGATGAGGATGATCAGGAGAAAGGTGGTGGATGATCTAGAACTACACAGGAGGAGCTTGTTAGTTATCTGAAGGCAGTTTGGACCACATTCACCAAAATCTTATCTCATAAGGGTGCAGGACAACTTCACTACATTGAGGCCCAATGGATGGAGCTGTGTACTGTAAAATCTTGGAAGAGAACCTCCTTCTGTCAGCCAGAACACTGAAGATGTGTCATGGGTGGTTCTATCAGCATGACGACAACCAAAAACATACCACCAAGGCAATAAAGGAGCGGCTAAAGAAGAAGCACATTATGTTCATGTAGTGGCCTAGACAGACTC